GGGGGTGGGGGGGGGGGGGGGTCAAAATACATTTGCATCAACAATTATTTATTTTTTACACCGGTACCAGTATTAAAAAATTAATTTCACAAATATTCATCTCAAAACACCTAGATACTTTGAAGAGGATTATTTGTTAATTTGATTTCAATGACTATCCGAGCCGGTACCCTATAACTATAAATTATTATAACAATATAAACATTAATTATAAATTCATACAATTTCAAATGGTCAGAACATCACTTATTTAACTTATTATGACAGGCCTAAGAAATTACCATCTGTTCCTTTAAATCAGGGCTCTCCAAACTAAGGCCCACGGAGACCTTTTGTCTACGGACAAAATTACGGAAATTTACGTGTATTCTGCCAAGGTCAGCCGCCACTTATGTGGACGTTACGTTTTTACAATTTTACCGAATTAAAATAGAGGCGTGCAGTTCACAGTCAATGAGAGGATATACCGCCATCTAGTGACGGAGTTTTTCAATGGTTTGCTGCTTGTTCAAGTTCAAGGCTAATTTGATGACGGTTTGCCAGTCGCGGTTGACTGCTGATCAGGGTTTGCCAGTCGTGGTTGACTGCTGCGATGAGAAGGTGTTAGTGTCAGTTAGCGTCTGATTCAAAACTGATTGCGAAATATGTTTCACTCTATTTTATTTAGTGATATTTTTCTTCGCGTAAATACTTATCAGACACAGAATCACAAGATTTACCATATTACACAGCAGTAAGATGGCTAAGTTGTGAGAAAGTTCTGAGCAGAGTACCGATATAATTTAAGTTGAGAAAGGAAATAGGTGACTTCCTGGAAAGTAAACGCAAGCTATAGCCATTACTGTCTGATGAAGAGTGGCTTTGGCCTTTGCTGCAGATATAACTAGTCATTTAAATTTTCTGAACCTAAAACTACAAGGAGAGGAAAATCTAGTTTCTGATCTATACACCCACCTAAAGGCTTTCAGATCCAAACTCGTCTTGTTTTTGGAACAAGTACAGGCCAACAACTTGACACACTTTCAGCAATGCTAGTTCTTCATATGGCTTAGGTAACAGCGGAGTTCCCCGCGTCATTTGCATGCGAGATCATCAAAGACCTCCAGCTGCAGTTTCAGCAGCGGTTTTCTTTGGATTCAAAGGCAGAAGTGAGACAGTTTCAAACCCATTTGAATCAGACATGGCCAGCTGCCTAGATGAACTGCAGCTGGAGGTCATTGAGTTGCAAGCAAATGACCTCCTTAGAGACAAGTTCAAAGAAGGACTGGTGGGTTTTTACTAGTTTTTGCCCAAGGAAGACTTTGTCTAATGTCAAAACTTTTGCATCAAGGTACCTTTCAATCTTTGGAACAACATACCCATGTGAACAAACATTTTTAAGAATTAAATACGCGAACAACAATTTTAGAACTCACTTTTCTGATGATTATCTCAGGTCACTTTTGATGTTAGGGACATCATATCTAAAGCCAGTAATAATAATACCGGTATGTGCTAATTTGGCATCCAGGAAACAATTTCACCATTCCCACTAATACAGGTGTTCATGTGCAGTGTGATCAATGTGTTATTAAATAATAACTGGATGAAATAATATTAAATAAATAATCAAAAACAACATCCATGTTTTGATTCTTTTTTATTTGGACCTCGAGTGTGTAGTCGGCCCCCGAACTGTTGTTTGATAGTGAATGCGGCACTCGGGCTGAAAAGTTTGGAGACCCCTGCTTTAAATGACTGCCGTAAAGACAGCTTGGTGTGTTGGCAATTCTTGCTCAGAGAAAATATCCGGAAATAATAAGTAAGCGCCGGAAATGGTTAGACTAGACAAGGATGATCATCTCAGTCAGCCGGTTGAATAAGAATTTATATTATATCGCAAAATTTATTGATTTCTTTTTGTTTCTTTCAATTGTTCATTAGTTTTAAATTATAGTTGATTTATAGTTATAGTTTAATGTGTAAAATTTAAATAACATGGCTAAATTACCTGATTTGTTTTTATATATTATGTTGCAGGCCTACTTGTGTACAGGTACCGTACTCTAGAAGTTTCATGAAAATGAAGGCAATAGTATCACGACAAAAAAGTTTAAATGTGTTTTTTGTCTTGAGCTTATTATACTTATAACCGGTACTTAATTCAAGCTTACGATACCTGTATGTACAGTTACAGGTTTATTTACCCGGTACACAAATTGTTTCTCTCGCTCATCTATTATTATTATTAATCTACTTTAAATTTTTTTTAAGCTTTTTCTTATTAGTCTTCTTATGCTCTTGCATTGCAATGATAAATTGATCAGTTACTATTATATTATATGTACTATTGCAAAAGAGAAATATTTGGCTTTTCATGAAGCAAAAAAAAAAAAATAATTGTTACCTAACAAATAAAATATAAAGGATTTGTACCAGTAATAATATGATTATGATTAAAAATACAACACAACCCGGTCAGGGGAAACAACCGTAGCATCTCTTCTGTTGCCCTTCGATTACTGTAGAATGATGTAAAACTTAATACCTGCACGGTACCTATACCCGGTGTGAGCCAATCAAAAACACTCTGACTTTTGCTCATGAGCCAGTATCTTCGATTTCTGAGCCCCCCTCCTCGAATTACAAATTGACATAGTGTACAGGGTACCAGCAATTTTTTTACTTGTAATTGGAAGGATTGATTTGCCTTTGAAGCTTAAATTGGTGGTGTTTTAAGTTTTACAGTAACAAAGGTAAAGCTTGTCTTGGCGAGATGTCACATTGGGAACATAATGTGCCCATTCCTGGGAATGGGAACAGGTTTTGAAAAAAATAATTTAACTTGACAAAACTGACTCATCTTGTCAGACAAGTTGTCTCACCTGAAATTTACACAGATGTAGGAGAGACCTGGTTTTGATTAGTTTTTATTCCATGGATGGAGACTTAACAAGAGGGTCCTTCTCAGCCTTCTTTCCATAATCACACAAAGTACTACGGTCATTTTTAATAATTTTACAATTTAAAATCTACCATAATCTCTTTAAGTTAAGTGTGTCCATAAGGAGCTTACGTGATGTACATCTTTTCATACTGGTACACTTAAAGTTTATACGTAATAGAAAACTTTGATAAACTATTGTGAGATATGTAGATGACTGACCTGTGTGCAAATGAAAGATAACTCTTAAGTGTGTTTCAAAGATTGATTGACCAAAATAAATTGAAATTGACTGGTTTTGACAGAGGTATTACCACATTTATTGTTCATGAAATTATGTACAGTACAAATGGAAGTTTTATCTTTATTCAAGAATAACATGTTTTCTTTCTGAACTTAAAACAAACATGTTATAAACACATGCATACATTAACCACATAACTCAAATGGTCACAGGGTCAAAGCATAGATCAATTATTTATGAATTCCCAAGTACCATTGATTTTACTTTATACTTATGTGTCATCCATCATCATGTATACCTCATGGCAAAATTGATAAAAATTATAAATATTTGTTTTAAAAGCTGTCTTAATTTTTCTATCCAGATCTATTGGTAACCAGTAAAAAGATTGCATAAAGACAAAATATCAAGAGTTGACATACCAATTTTAAGATACATTCTGATGTACCGGTACATTAAAATTTTTTATTAAAATATGTATGTATTCAAATGTATTAATACAGTGTATGGTACATAATTCACATTGTTCATACATAAATGCCATCTGACTTCAATGCGGTACCCAATTAAGATGACAGTATCGAAGAACACTTTTTCTTCCCTGTAACCTATTACCGGTACTTGATACTTACCCAAATAGCCAATGCCTAGCCGTACTATAAATGCTTTCCATGTTTACCCGTCCATAAAAATATTTTTTTAAATGAGATGCTTGAGCATCAAATTCCATAAAGCATCTTTGCAGATGTGCTACTATTAAGACTTCGAAAAAGTTTTATGTCCATTTTTGTTTGACCGTACCAGTACCAATGACTGTTTATTCACAAAAACTAGTTTTATGAACTGCCAACCAATGACGTTTCAGATGGTGCTTATGGGTAAACTTGGCACTGCACAACTCACAAGTGAACCTACGACCAGAATGTGCCTCTACGTGTTTTTGCAGGCCACTGAGTGAAAAAAATCCCATGAAGCACATTTTGCATGTGTAAGGCAGGTATTTTGCTTGCCTGTGTTCAGAATTCATATGTTTCTGGTAAAATATTCTGGACTCAAGAAACATATCACAGAGAGGACACTTCATAATCATGTTAGGGTCTGACATTGGTTTGCCCTGATGGCTAGAAACTCCATCAAACATTTGAATCATGGCTTCGTACTGCCCAGGGGAGGCCATGTCGATGCAGGGTCTAGAAGAGGTAGAAATACTATGTAATCCAGAATAGGATGGAGAAAACATCTCCAGATAGGGCTGTGTTTCTGGCTCTAACAGTTGTTGTGACTGGCCTCCCACATGGGCCAAATCTTTAGCCTGTTTCAATTTCCTGAGGCCCTTTCCTTCTGAAACAATATATAATATACACAAGAGAATTACTAAAAAAAATAAATAAGAATTGACAAGCCTTACATACAAGGCAATGGCAACATACAATCGGGAAAAAAAGACAGAATGATGGGATTGGTATCTTCCAAAAGAAAACATTAGTGACCAAAAAAACAACAAAAAAAACTCTAAATGAACTTGATTTTAAAATGAATATTAATTAATTAATTTAATTGGTTTTAAAAATGTGTGGATGATTAACATAAAAATACAAACATTGAGAAATGGACATTAGTTGTAAATAGTATATTTTATCAATGAAATTCTGGTTTTAGTAATAATCAGAAGGCATCAAACAAAGTAATCAATTTTTGAACAAAGTAAATGCTGTAAAATCATATAGGTAGAAGATAATGAACAAACAAAATCATTCTTAAAACAAAGCTATGAAATAAAAAATTTTTAAACAAAGCTATGAAATAAATTTTTTTTAAAACAAAGCTATGAAATAAATTTACAAACACTGTTGGATAATGTTCCTCAAAATTAAATTATTTAAAACAAGAGATAAGAACTGCTTCAGGTTAGCCTTTCCTAAGCCATTACCATCATTTTAAACAAATAGAACAAATAAAAACGTGGAGCTGAATGAATTTCTGGAAGTTTTATACTATTTTCTGCATGTACTGAGATGAAATGTAAATAAATCTTGCTCAGATGAATGAAATGTTATTAAGCAAACAGGGCAGAGTAACATTTTGTGCACATTTGTCACATGGTCTTTCAGATGGTGCTTGTGCTTGAACCTAAAATCGCATATAGGGCACACAAAATTCCTTCCCTTGTGAGCCTCCATGTGGAAACCAAGACCTCCTCTGCTTCGAAATATTTTACCACAAATCGTGCAACTTAACTGGAGGTGGGCATGCGATAAATGCCATTGATATGATTCTGGAGTGTAAAATTCTTGTGTACACTGCGAACATCTTATTCTGTTAGCAGTCTCAGAAGATTCATGAATCTTCATGGGAGGAAATGGAATGCTATTGGCAGATGTTGCCTGAAACTTTGACCTTATAGGGGCTTGAGTGTAACGATGATTATATCTGTACGCTCGCTGGTCAACAGGGAAAAAGTCTGAAATACAAAAAACAGCCCTGAATACCGGTACATCTTAGAGTTAAAGCCTAATGTGAGATTGTAAATTTTATCACTTAAAATTCTGACATACATAAGGATTTCATTATAAAAATAAGCAGGGCGATGGAAATTCATGTCCTAATGAAAATTCAAATCTATAAATAAATGAAGCTTATAACCAAATGGGCAGGATTGGTTTTAGTGCTCCTGACACTGCTGAATATTATTGTCTATGTGCAGTGTAATACATGCTGATGAAATTCTTCGCCCAAGTTATATGCGTTAGAGCAGACAGGGCACAGGGCCAATTTGTGAATGTTCTTAAGATGCTTCTTGAGATGTCCTTTTTGCTTGAACTTGAAATCACATATTTGGCACATAAACTTTCTTCCCTCGTGGGCTTGCACATGATTCATCAGACCTGAAGATGTCAGAAAACCTTTTCCACAAAGTTCACACCCAAAAGGCATTTCATGTCTATGATACAGAGCAATGTGTTGTTTTATGCTGCTCCGAGGTATAACTTCACTGCAGTGTGAACATTTTCCATAATGAGCCAAAGGTGACTGACCATGTTTTCCCTCATAATTTTTAGGTTGTTTGTAATGAGGGTAACGGTGTTGGTCAGTGGAGGAGCTTTGATGACTATCATAAATGTAAGAATGATGTTCCTGCTCTTCAGCTTCTGAAATAAAAAAAGGAAGTCTCATTTTCACATTCCAGTCCAGATCCTTTATTCACACAAATAGTCACATGTGCAATGTTTGAAACAGCATTCTGCCAAATAGTAATTGAAAAGTGGTGGAAACAAATTTTAAACCCAGAAATCATGTACTGGGTATGAGTACTTTTTCAATCAACTACCCGGTATCTAATTTTAGGTAAATATGCTCAATTTACCAACTAATTAATATATCAATGCCCGATTTCAAGTCTACTTATTCCCAGACAGTGCAGCGCATGGTGATTAAATTCTTGACCCAGTGAGAATATTTGTAAGCAATTCGTGCACTGTGATTTCTTGTGCACATTGTTGAGGTGTCGCTTAACCTTTCCTTTCTGAGATAGCTTGGCACCACAAATGGGGCAAGGAAAAGTTTTGCCTTCATGAGCCTGCTTGTGCAGGTCAAGCCCAAGGCGAGATTGGTAGCCTTTTCCACATAGGGAGCAGATGAATGGCAGCTGATGGCCATGAGTTCGTGCAAGATGGGTGGTGAGCTCACGCCTACTCATAAATGTCTCTGGGCAGTATTGACATTGTGTGAAAGATTGGGACATCATCTTCAATCTAAAGCTATTCATAATATGAGAAGGTGTAGAGAAATTATCACTATAAAAGTTGTGTGTGTGAGAAGTTTTATCTCGTGTGGTTCTAGAGCTTGGATGGTGCAACTCTGCAACATTGTCCTCTGAAATAAAATGGAATAAATGGTCTCAAAATATAACTTATTTTTCATATATTTCTAAAACTTTCCATAGACTTTAATAACAGGCTGAGCCCTTTTCTCAAGAAAACTGTTCTGGAGGGCAGTAACTTAAAAATATTTTTTCTCAAACAAATTATTAAGAAAACAAGTTTTTGTCAGAAAATAATTTAATAGTAATAGGTAAAAAATGCAATTAAACCACAGAATTACACATTTTAAAAAATAAGATAAATTCTTATTTATATTGATGGCCCTTGACAATGTAAAACATGTTTATCGTAATCTTGGCCCACTCTGAAAACTGCAGAGCATGTGAGACACTGAGACATTCCATGAACCCCACGAAGGTGCATTTTAATTGTTCCTTTTTGAGTAAACTTTGAATCACAGATAGGACAGAGATAAGATTTCCCTTTGTGTCCTCCCATGTGAAGGTTCAGTCCAGTGGATGTCAGATAACCTTTACCACAAAAGGAACAGACAAATGGGCTTTGTATGCCATGGGCCTCAAACATGTGATTGTTTAGGGCAAAATAATCCTCAAAGATTATTCTACAGTGCTGACACCTCAAAATTGCAGGTGCACTTTTCATTCTTCTGTTTTGTCTTGGGTGGTGTTGTCTTGCTGGTGAAAATGATTTTGCAATGGAAAATTTCTGACCTGAAATTAAAAGATTGTGAGAATTCACTACTTTTGCTGATCTAAATTATCAATATAATTTGCTATGTCTGTGCATGGAACAAAATAACATACCAATCAACAAGTCAAGAGAAGAAATACTAAAACACATGTTTATCAATCCTGTTGAAAATTTGGATCAACAAAGCTGCTGACATTACATTAACATTTATTAATTTTTCATAAAAGTAGGGTATCAAAATGTATCTTTAGCCAAAGTCACTTAAAAAAAAAGCATATTTAAATTAACTATGAACATATAATAATAAAAACATAAATACAATGAACAGCTATTCTCTTATAGGTATTTATGAATTTCAAATTATTATTTTTTTTTTAAACAAATATTTTTTTATTTAGTAGCTATGATGACAATATCTCAACTCTCTAAGGTCAGTATATAAAAAAAAAAAAATTAAATAACAGACTTTTCAGAAAACATAAACTCTAAACAAAAAAATCTTATAGGTATTTATGAATTTCAAATTATTATTTTTTTTTTAAACAAATATTTTTTTATTTAGTAGCTATGATGACAATATCTCAACTCTCTAAGGTCAGTATATAAAAAAAAAAAAATTAAATGACAGACTTTTCAGAAAACATAAACTCTAAACAATAATATTACAGGACACAGTGATATAAAATAACTAGCCATTAATCAAATGGAATCATATTAACATTTTAAAGTACCAATATATATTAATATATTTAACATCCCCTTCTGCAAAATCACTTAATTTACCAGTAGGATATACCAAAATTTAAAAATAAAAAAATTAATAATTACTTATATTGTACACTCCCAATCAGTACACTGTATCAAATAGACAGACTACCTAATCTTTAATTTTCCAAGCTTTCTAATTTATTCCTCACTATATTTTAACAGCAGTGGTGATAAAAAATAACTATCAACTTGAGGATGCGATTTTAAAAAATTTGGAACCACACTTAGGAGCCACAATATAAATTATGCTCAGTGAGAGATGGACCAATTTTGAGTATCAGTGAGCAATGTGGGCATTGAGCTGACTGATGGACAAACTTGAGATGGCGTTTCAAAGTAAAATTGCGAGAGAATTTGTTATCACAAACAGGACAGACAACCGTTTTCCCCTGATGCATATCCATGTGATTGCTTAATCCAGCCTGGCTCTGATATCCCCTTTTACAGAGAGAGCATGTGTAGGGCATTGATTCACCGTGCATTTTTGATATGTGTGCTTTCAGGCAATCTGATGGAAAAGCTTGAAAACAAACGGGGCATGTTTCACATGATATGTTGAATGACCCAACATCTCGATTTCCAAAGCTTCCTTGATCAGAACGACTACCTGTTCTCCAATTATGCAAGACATGTTGTTGTCGTAGAGGCACAGGCATATCTGAAAGCAAAGAAGTGTTTATATTCATTTGTTTCTGTTTTTAATTTCTCTAACTGCATCAATATGAGCACATTCCCCTAGCATCATTACATCATTTGACACAGTACAAAAGGTGACGGTTGTAAACTGAACCAGCTTCAAGCATTTCTGAACATTTTGGACATTGTGCACAGTTGTGAACCAATTTCATATGTCTCTTTAAGTGGTAATTCCTAAAAAATCTTTTATCACATACTGGGCAGAGGACATTTTTTCCTTTATGAAGATCCATGTGACTGATTAGGCCAGTAATGCTTTTGTAACCACGTTCACAAATATCACATGAGAAAGGCATGGTCTTTCCATGGACTTCTGAAATGTGGGCTTTTAAATGTCTGGTCGGGATCATTTGTAAACAATGGGGACAAGGAACATTTTCTGATTCAGAGTTGCTGGTTTGCATCCTGTCGTTATGGGAAGAGTATGCATTGGTTTTATCATAGTTGAAATTGCTGGTCAAATTATGGCTAATGGTTGCTTGCATTGTTGAGTCAGTTCTGGGACCAGGGTACTTATGGTGACTCTGATGTCTTTGTCCAAATCCACCTGAAATCAAAGAGTAATGGATGGAGGTATTTTAAGGACTACTCTATACATTGTAAGAGGCATTTTACAATTACATTATTTATCAATCTGAGAAACTATTTTTTACAATAAATTAGATGCAAATTGTATTCATGGCCAGCTTTGTAAGTAGAATGGCAGTTAGGACATTGTGATGATTTGTGAACAAGTCTCATGTGTCGATTCATAGTGAAGCTTCGAGAAAACTTATTATCACAAATCGGACATTTGAATAACTTTCCTCTATGAAGATCCATGTGACTGATTAAACCAGTGATACTTTTGTAACCACGTTCACAAATGTCACAGGAGAAAGGCATGGTTCTTCCATGGAGTTCTGAAACGTGAGCTTTTAAATATCTGTCTGGAATCATCTTTAAACAATGGGGACAAGGAACATCTGAATCAGAGTTGCTCGACAGCATCCTGTGGTTATGAGATGAGTATGTATTGGTTTTATCAGAGTTGAAATTGGAAGTCCCATTATTGCTAAAAGTTGCTTGCATTGTCAAATCAGCTCTGGCACCAGGATTCAAATGGTGGCTTTGAGGTCTATGTCCAAATCCACCTGAAATCAGAGTAATGGAAGGAGTATTTAAGGACTATATACATTCTACGAGGCATTTTACACATACAAGTATATCAACCAGGCACGATTTTTTCAACTAATTATGTGTGAATTTTATTCATTGCCAGCTTTGTAAGAACAATGGCACTTGCGATATTAAGCATAGTTGTGATGTCTGTGTCCATTCCTAGTTTCAGAAAAATAATTACATTCAGATAATTGATGAATTTATCTCTTTGAAGCCGATCCACGAGACTAAAATCGATCCATGTGATTAAAATCGACACCTATGTTTATGCCAAACTGCTAACAGTTTTTGATGAGAAGAAGATTCTTTTGCTATGGAGCTCTAAAATCTCCATCGGAAGTCATGTTTAAAGAAAGGGGAAACAAATAATATCTGAACCAGAGTTGGCAGATGTCATCCTGTCGTGGAGTTATGAGTATGTTTTTGGTATTATAAAACTTATAATTAGATATCTTATTATGGCTAAGAGTTGCTTGCTTGCTCAAATCACTTCTGGACCAGGGTAACTTTGCTTGAATTGTTCCAATCCCCCAAAATTAGAGTGATGGAAGGATGTATTCAAATTATATACATTCCAAAAGGCAATATATACATACAACATAACATGTATATCACTCAGGCACCAACTATTTTTTACAATAGATTAAATGCAGATTGTATTCAGGGCCAGTCTTATAAGTAGAATGGCAGTTGGGGCATTGTGATGATTTGTGAACAAGTCTCATATGTCGATTCATAGTGAAGCTTCGAGAAAATTTATTATCACAAATCGGACATTTGATAAATTTCCCTTGGTGGAGATCCATGTGACGAGAAAGTCCTAGGCTTGTTTCATAGCCTCTACAACACAGAGAACAAACAAAAGGCATGGCAGATCCATGGTTATGTGAAATATGAACTCGAAGATTTCCTTTGAAAAGCATCTGGAAGCAATAAGGACAAGTTACAGTAGCAAACTGTGATTGCCCAATATCTGGATGATCTTCAGCTTGCTGGACTTTAACACTTTTAGATGATGTTGGCCTGCCTTGTGCTGGCAGTTCATGTCCTAAAGAACCAGCAATACGTCCTAGGTCATAACGGAAAACTTTCCTTGATGTGGCACCTGAAATCAAAAGAATGTTGAAATTCAGTGGTCCACTTCAGTCCTCAGAATACACTCAAGGTAGATAAAACCAAATATTTAGTTTTTTGTCAGCAGTTTCAAACGAAGCCTTTAAAACCACATTATGCAACACAAATGTTAAGAAAAAAGGATTAGATCATCTATTTAAAGCAAAAACATAAAGTTAATTAATAAAATATATTTATCTTCAACACAAATAACTTCTTTAGAAAAGTCTAACAGGTACATCATGCAGGATTGAAGTTTTTCTTGGATGATAGTAAATCTGCAATATTTCAAGAGGTGCCAGCCATTCCGTAGTTGCCACATTTCAGCACATGTTGATTGAATTCAAAGCCCAGCTTGAATAACAAGGAGCAGGTTGTACATTGATCTAAACCATGAACAGATCTCAAATGAGGCTTGATGGTGAATTTTTGAGTAAACTTTGAATCACAAATTGGACATGTGAATGTTTTTCCCCGGTGAGATTGCATGTGACGAGCTAGTCCTGACGTGCTGAGATAGCCTCGTCCACATAATGAACATGAAAAAGGCATCTGGTCATTGTGGAAGTTTGACATGTGCGATCGAAAATATGACATGTCTGGGAAAGTCTCTTTACAGTAAGGACAAAAAGTGGATCCTGGCGACTGATTGAAAGTGGCTCGAAGAATAGTGTTGGAGAATCTCTGATGTTTCCGTCTTTGTTGAGAATGCATATCTGAAAGAAATAAAATCCAGAATCTTCCTGTGGTACTCTAAACAGCCTGTCAGTTTTATATGTAATAAAATAAAATTTTTATGGAATCAAAGGCAACATTAATATTACCGGTACTGAGTTCCCACTTTTTGAAATTGAAAAGAACTTTTTAAAATGTCAGGCTACATTATTTACTGGTTCATACAGCAAGTCTCCTGCTATTCAAAGCACTGACTTTATTGAGACATGCAAATATGCACGATGCATACGCAAAACATTAAAACCAATTCTTATTTGGCTGTTCTTTGTTTAGACTTCCATTCCCACAATTTAAGACATGTTGATCAAATTCATGTCCAATATTCAGCACAACAAAGCAATTCATACATTTAGCCAACTTGTGGACTGCACGCAGGTGAGTTTTAATTGAGAACTTTTGTGTAAACTTTACACTGCAAACGGGGCACATAAATGTTTTCCCTTTATGAGACTGCATATGGTGAGCCAAGCCCCGAGGTGTCTGATAACCTCTGCCACACAGAGAACAGGATAAAGGTGCACTATTTGGATGGTATTTAAAAATGTGTTCCTTGAGATAAGCTGAACCCCTCAGAACATGAGAACAAACTGGGCATGACAAAGCTGTTGAAGCTAAACAGTCAAATTTTGTATGCTGAGTGCTTTGGCTTCCAGATTGATTGAATCCTTGCTGGTGTGATGGATACTGAACAGGTGCAACAGAACTTGAAAAATAACCCCTTTGATGGTTTTGAAATAAGTGGCTTGATTCGGATACCTCTGAAAGATAAATTATTACTTGTTAAAATAGTTTTGCTATTTCACAAAACCATTTCTCAGTGCAAAATAAAAAATAAAGATTTGTATGGTGTCAGGTTCAATTGGTTTTAAAATCCATTGAACAATTTTTAGTTTTTAAATCAATTTATAAACAATATTCATAAATTGATACTCATTGTTTTATGTACCGGTACCATAATGTTGAAAAATCATTTATGTTTTGCATTTTTTAATTCTTAATATTAATTTACATGTTTAGCTTATATTATAAACAATTTATTGTGAAGAAATTGCTCATGTTAAAATAATGTTTCCTTTAGTTTTCTTATTTATTGAAAAAATGGAAAAAGGAGAATAGAAGAATGGCACATTAAAAGTCGTACAAACTAAATGCCAAATACAAGACTATGGTTAAATAACATTTTAATGGGAATTTCAAATGACATACAAATTAACAATAGCATATCAAAATTGTCAGTTTTTTTTGTTTGTTTTTTTACATATGTGCTCACAATTATCTGAATACATAACCTCATTCACAAAATTTTCTTTTTTTTTTTAAATAAATATATATATATAAATTCAAAGCAGATTAAGCCAAATTTTTAGCATTTTTTTTTCATTTTCCCAACATCAAATCTTAAGAGATGTAAGGTACAAATTTTAAAGAAATTAAATGAGTATGTAACCAACAAATGACTTTTTTTACTAAGAAATGATTGCCCAGCTTAAGAGCTTTTGAGTGGCTCTATTCTTAATTTCTCACAACAGCAGCAAAGGAAAAAAAAAACAAACAAAAAACAAAGATAACAATCAAATTTTGCATCTAACAACATGTTGTGTGTAGTCTTGACCAAGTTTGAATATTCCACTACATGATGGACATTTTGCAGACTTATGAAGCTTTTTAACATGAAGTTTTAGTGAGGAGTCCCTGGTAAAAATCTGATCGCAAACTGAACAGCTGAAAGTTTTCCCAACATGCCTTTGCATATGGTAATGTAATCCCATAATTGACTGATAGCCTTTGCCACACAGTTTGCATTTGAACTGCACATGCTGACTAGATAAGTGATTTTTCAGGCTATAGTTATCTAAGAAAATTTCATGGCAGTGTTGACACTGATACTCTGATGCCAGAGGATAGTTCTTGTGATGTGAAGAATTAAGACTTGATGAAGGGTGCAACTTTGAATAAGGAGCGGCCGCTTGGAAATGTGGCAATGTGTTGACTTCCTGCCTATTAGCATATGTGAGGCCTGAAACAGATTAAATATCATATTTCTAGTTTGAGTCATAACTTTTTTCCATTATTAGAGTAACTCCAAACCAACAAATGTTCATACAATACTTCTCAGAAATGTTAATTGAAGCCACAGTTTAAAATATGACTTTCATAGTCAGCGCCAAGTGTAAAAATTCCAGAGCATGAGGAACATTTTGCAGAATTATGAACATTTCTTAAGTGCATCTTAAGAGAGAACTTGCGAGTCAGTTTACAATCACATATTGGGCAAGCAAAGATTTGTCCCTGATGAGCTTGCATATGGTAGCGGAGCCCCATGGACGTCTGATATCCTTTACCACAAAGTGAACAAGTATAATGCATTAAGTGGCCATGAAAACGTGAAATGTGACTTTTTAAACAAAAATCATCAAGCAAAAGCTCTGAACAATGTGGGCAAGGAATAAGCTGGCCCATTTTGGGATTTCCTTGGTATACACTTGACCCTCTTCTGTGACAGAGAGTATTAGATTCAATGTTAGAAGGACTTGGAAAAGAGTCTCTATGCCGCAAACTTGGACGTTGTCTACGTCCTCGTCCTCTATTAAATTTCAACCCTGAAATAAAACAAATGTGAGAAGTCTATTTCATTTTCATACAGTTAACAACAGCAGACACTCTCTGCCTGTAAAAAAAAAAACTTCTTCACTAGTGACTTAATATTATCAAGGCATAACAAGCACATCCCAAAAGTGTTGATAAATACACTTAACACAGAGCATTATTTATAGTACATGCAGAATATTAAAAGTAATCCACAGTTTTACAATCATGATTAGGTATAAAAAACGAACAAGTCTTTGAAGTAGATTATCCATGTCACTTTGCTACCATTTCAAGTTTAAAAAAAATTAATACAAGCAAATCAAGTAAAGTTTGTCATTATGAATGTATTAATTCTTAAGGAAAAAACTGATCTTTTATGATAACCTCTACTGTTTTTCGTAATGAATATCTTTAATATTAAAAATAAAATACATCAAGAGTAGTTAACATTAAAGATTAAAACAAAATCCAATAATCATGAAATTAACTTAATGAGTCCACAGATCATCTGGTCAGTCCAACAATAGATGTTGATAATTTAACTAAAAATGTTTGCTTTCTTAGGCCAATTTACAGAGCACTGTTCCACATGGCTGTTGTAATCTTGAAATTTGACCAATAGGGAGCATTTTGGACACTGCCCTGCATTGTGAACACCCATCAGATGGGACTTAATTGTGCCTTTACGAGTAAACTTTGCATCGCATATGGGACAAAGGAAAGATTTCTTTTCGTGTGATGCTTGAATATGATAGTACAAGCCAGAAGGTGTGAGATAGCCCTTCCCACATCTAGGACAAACATGAGGCATAGTAATGCCATGGGTTTCTCTTAAGTGTCTTTGTAGAGTAAACCCATCAGGTAGAACTTCTGGGCAATGAGTGCAGCAGCAGTGGCTTTCGGCTGAAGTTGGGGTTGAATGAGTATCAACTCCAATGTTGTAATCAAACCTCTGCGGCCAATTCAACCCTGAAGCAGTAATCATCCTTTCAACGTTAGATGACTTTCTTCTTTTTCGAAAATTGGCTTCTGAAACAAAAGAAATTTATCAGAATTCATTTGACTCGTTGACTCGTTCAGTACTGATTTGTCAGAAAGATCTTGCTGTTTAAAAAAAAAAACCACATTTCCTTCAATAAAACAATAAAAATTGGACACAGTAGTGCATTTTTTTTTTAAAACCACCGTTATTTCTTTTTGCAGTATAAGACATGGAATTCAAATTCTTGGCCAATTTTTAAAATGGATGAACACTGACTGCATTGAGCTGACATATGAATTCCTTTTAAGTGAGTTTTCATGGTGCTTTTCTGTGTGAATTTTGAATCGCAAATAGGACACATGAAAGTTTTTCCTTCATGTAGACGCATGTGATGATTAAGTCCTGAGATGCTGGCATAGCCTTTGCCACAAAGAGTACATGTAAAAGGCATGGTGTCTCCATGAAACTGCGATAAGTGTGTTCTCATGGCAGATTGATCTGGAAGTATTTCAGGACATAATACACATGGGCAGGCCTGGTAAGTAGAATGCCCAAAGAAGTTCTGATGAACAGTTGGAATAAAAGATGGCTTTGATTCCACAAAGTTATTGTGATTTCTTTTTAACATTGGAACCATAACTTCATTAACTCTTCCTCGCAATCTTTGTAGTCTGGGGCCTCTGTTACAACTACTTTCTGAAAAATAAAATGTGGGGTTGTTTTCAACAACAACAACAACAAAAAAAATACCAAAAAAAAAAATAAAAAAGCAACTATTTTCTACATTTTATCTGAATAATGATTCAAACATGGTAACTTGAAGAAATAAATACATGTGTAGCCAGGTATATAACCCATGGCAAAATAAAATGTGGATAAACTGTTTATAAAATGAAGTGTCAGCTACTGTACTTCACTCGTTCAACTTGTTCACCAAAATAAACAATCTTTACTCAAAATAACTAACCTATGTATGCTTTAAAGACTAAACAGCTATAATTTAAAAATTGGTTTAATTTAAAACATGTTTCCAAAAAATAATTTTATAACTTAATGTAAAACACACCACTAAACGAAACTTTTACAATTTAAAAAAATTTAATTGAGTTTCCAATCCACTGATATAATATACAAAAGAAAAATTATTTTAGGCTTAACCCTGTCCACAGTTTAAAACATGAGAATTAAAATCTGGGCCAATCGAAAACATCCCTAGACATATACGACACTCTTTCAGTCCATGAACCCCTTCGGTATGGCGTTTTAGATGATGCTTATGTTGGAACTTTGCATCACAAACAGCACAGATGAACTGGCGACCTTTATGTGCCTCCATATGGTGACGTAGCCCAGTTAGTGAAAAGAAGCCTTTCTGACACATGGAGCAGCTGAAAGGTAGAGCTCCTTCTTCTCTGTGATTACTGTTTAAATGTTTTTGATACAATATGCGTGAATGGAAAACCTCAGGACAATATGAACACTGAAATACATCAGAATTGAAAGAGTGGAATCCTGTGACATCCGTGGGTTGAACATTGTCCCCTAAAACTGGCCTTGTAACATTTTTAGCGCCAGATGATGATGACTGTGGAGACTGCCAAGAATGAAAAGCATTTCGTCGCCAATTTGAATGTTGTTTTTGTTTAGCTCGGGGTATGGCAGCATAATCTCCTGAAACAAAGCAATCGCATCTTTAATAGCATTTGATGTGTTAAATGGCATTTAAAAAGGAAAACATGCTTTTTGATAGAATTCTTTGCAACACAAATGCTGCAGATGGAACAAGTTATAAAAAATGAAAATCAATACAGACATGATTTCAAAAATTGATGCTAGTTGTACTTCAAATACATCTTTCTTAATTTAACAGTATACTATTTTAGGAGGTTGACCCCCTAATTTGAATTAAAATGTATAATTAGTATCTGCTACTTTTTTGTTGAACATGAAATAATATGTTGGTTAAATTCTTGGCCTTGCTTGAAGTAAGATTCACAATATCTACATTCCTTGAGAAAATGTGTTCCTTCCATGTGTCTCCTCATAATAGTCTTGTGTTTCAGCTTCGCATCACAGACAAAACATGTAAATTTTTGTCCTCCGTGTGTTTCTTGGTGATATCGCAAACCACTTTGAGTGAAAAAGCCATGTTGGCATTCATCACAATTAAATGGAAGCATTTTGGCTTCTTTGTGATATTCATTCATGTGCTTTTGATATATTGATGCATTTCCCAAGGGCTGTCTGCATATTGGACAAGTCTCTGCTATGTTGGCAGTAGTAGATAAATTTTCTATCGAATGGGACCCCGCTGAACTCTTATGTGCACTGAAGTGTGTTTCTGTGAGGTAGGGCATTAAAATGGTTTCTCTAATGTTTGGCTGCTTCTCAACTTTACATTGAGTCCTTTTTCTGGAGAGGGCTTGAGTTTTGTTGACACACAAGCTCCCTGAAACACAAGATACCATATCTCAAAGGAACATCAGAAATTTAAAACGCACTTAAAAATAAATCCGATATAGAAAATCATGTTCAAATGTTAACTAAAAGTACATAAAAAGAAGTTCATTTTGTTCTGAAATTCCTAATAATATTTTGAAGTCTAATTTATGGACAGTAATTTTTTACAGATAAAACAATATTTTAAAACAAAATGATACTTAATGCACAGTACAAAATATTTGCACATACTAAAACATTGAAAATATGGAAATGAATTCTCAAAACATCAAGTAACTATATTTCCTAACATGTTTTTTAAATATGGGATTAAAGAAAAAACTTTGGGGTTTTGTACTCCCATCTACATCAGATTTTTATTGGAATGACTTTCATCGGGTAGTTATTTCCAATTTCAATCAATTTCAAATACTCTTAAAACTTTATGTTTCAAACATCCTTTAAAAAGGGATGCAACTTCCCTGCTTATTCTGAAAATGCTGTGATTCAAGGTGAGTTTGATGCATTCAATATTTCACTGTTATTTTGTTATATTTTGTTGACTAATAAATTCAATGTAAAGAACAATATCATGTAGTCAAAACTTCATGTTAAAATGGACACAGGGGCAGCTGTAGATGAAATTTTAACTCTTTTGTATTTCGGGAAATATGTGGTCCAAGTGGTCTGCCCATGACAAATAAACAAACCCCACTATATTTAAATAAGTTTTTAAAAAATAATATAAAAAAACATATTTTATTTCATTTAAAAAAACCATAATACCCGATGCATTTTCAACCATTACAAAAGGAAAAATGAGCAGCATAATTTTCTACTGGGAAAAGACTGGAGCATTTAATGCAACGTGTCAGTTTATGTATGTTTTTCTCATGACGTTTTAAATGATGTTTATGAAGGAACTTGAATCCACATATTTCACAAATATGCTGTCTTCCGACAAGATGAGTTTGTTTATGCAGTCTCATTGCACAGGTAGAGAAATATCCTTGGCCACATATAGAACAAGAAAAAGGCAATGCATGAGCATCCTTATGCAACAAGTTCATGTGACGCTGCAACAGGGAAATATTTCCCAGAACCTCTCCACATAAATTACACTTGTAACGCCAAGTACCATCAGCAAGCTCAATTCCAGAGTATGCTTGTGAACTATTTTGAACATGCCGAGAGGCATCCCATGTTTCATTTGACACAATAGTAGATCTTTCTTTAGATCCCAGAAAATTTACTGGATCAACCATTGAAGCTCTATTTTCCATTGGCACTATGGAGTTTCTATTAACATTCCAGTCTGAAATAAAAAGACAAAGCATTCATCTAATGTCCCTTGACCTAAAAAAGATTTTTAATAAAAGCCGTCAATTTTTATGATTCACTGTGGCAGTAGAAAGATTTTTTAAAATCTCATACATATGTAACGGATGTGTTGTGTCTGTCAGTTTTATTAGTAATAGTAAATTTATTTTTAACTTATATAAATGCATATTTCCTTGGTTTAAATTGCAGCAAAAACACCAACATAACACATTAAATAAATTTTTTTTTTTAAGTTGTTTGTTTTAAAAATGGATCTGAATTGAACGTTATGCTTAGTGATATGTTTTTGAATAGAACTTAATCTTTCATCACATACCTTATGTAATTTCAATAGGTCATACAAATCTTTTCCCAAGTTTAAGCCAGACAAACAAATGGCATTCAAGAGGAATAAGAAATGATTATTCTCAGCAATTGAAATTACAGGCAACAAATTAATGATGATTTAAAAAATTTTATGAGGCCCACAATTTGAATAATGTCCACACAAAAAAAACCTGATGAAATTGTACAACAGTGTTTTACATGACAGATCCATGTGCCAACTTTTGATGAGCAGTAAGGGATGTTTTATGTGCATACTTTGAGCCACAAATGTTACATTCAAAATCTTTCTGTTGAATATGAAGAGACATGTGAGATTTCAAGTGAGATTTTTGCTGGAAGCCTTTGCCACACATTGAACAATAATGATCGAAAAGACCACAGTGTTTAATTCTATAATGAAGTCTAGCTCCTGCTGAAGATTTGTACTTCTTGCCACATGACTGGCAACCATACATCTGATTGATGCTGTCAAATTTGAGGTATGATTCTTTTAATTCTTGATGATCAACTTGATTACCAGTTGATTGATTGTGCAATGAAGTATTATACGAAATATTGCGATGAGAGCGAAGGTGTTGTGTTTGGGAAAAATGCGATGAAGCGCTATCTGCAAGAGAAAGAGTTTAACATTGATACAAATTATTTTTTTTATCATTCAACATGACAACTTCATTAATATAGAAGTTAATTACAATTATGAAAGATAATTGCAAACATTTTTCTTTATATGAAACTACCAGAAATAAGAACACATTTATAGCACAGTGTGCATACAATTTCTTGGGAAAATGATTGCTAAAAAAAAGCTGCGATTTATTAAAAACATATTTAAAGCTGTGCTGTCCAAGTAATAAGACTAAATTTCCCAAAACATGGTTAATTGTCCTTTTTTTTTTTAAACAGTCGTGTTAAGACTGGTAAATTTTACATTTCACTACTTAAAAAAAAAACTATATGGCAGTATATATGTATATGTACAGTAGAGTGTAGTTTTCCAAATGCTGATTATCAGAAGCATTGGTCATCATATTCTAACAACCCCAGTCTTTTATTATTATTTTTATTAATATCATCGTGGGCAATGTGCATGCAATGGAACCCCTGTTGCACATTCCTGAAAATCTAGATATGTAATGTGCATGCAGATTGGAATAATACAATCTGTAAACTTGTAAATAAAATATATTGAAAGATGAGGTGCCTTCAAGACAAAATGAACTCGATTCTAAGCACCGGTTAACTGGTTTAGAATATCAACTTTTTCTCATTAAAACATCATTTCAGACTTAATCTGTTTTTGACACCATGCAGTTAATACACTGTACATCAAAGCAGTGTTTCTCAAAATTGTCTATATGACTTAGAGCATTTCTTGAAGGCAAAAAAAACTTTTAAAAAAGGACTTTCTATACATAAAGAGCAACTTTAAAATATATTACCAGGGAAGAGGGCCTCAAGCAAAATATGACAAAATAGGAGAAGGGGTGTGTGTGTGTGTGTTTGTTAAGAGACACTGAATAAAGCACCATTGGTGTATAACTATGAAGTAAGATCATCTTGTTTCTTTGCACAGACTTCTTTAGTGAAACCTTTACATGGCATCGTTAAGTTAACTGTAACAACCCCCCGTCCCAGTTGGTTCTAAAAAGTGACACTCTACTGTATATATTTATGTACCATAAATGTACATTCATGCATAATTACCTTTTTTAAAAAAAAGGTAAATAAAGGTAAATGGATATTCTTTATCCCAAGGATAAGAATATGAAGTGTTTGGCAGCATCTTAAAACAGAGTCTCATAATCAAAATATGAGAAGTTATGGTTGCTTTTGTCCCTCAAATTTAACAATGTTGTATTCAATTTACAGTTTTAACAAACCCATTTTCAAATTATTAGTTAAATTGAAATTATTATCTTGAGAATATCATACACAATTTTCAAGTGACATGGTGATTTCTGTAATGTATATTTTTGCATTTATGCAAATAACAAATCAATAGTTAGTTTCTTATTTAGCTTACAGCATTAGGATAAAGTATTTTACAAAAATAATTTGTGTATAATAATACAAAGATCATTCATGTATGATTAGGGTTACAATAAAACTTAAGTGTTAACATTCAAATTAAAAATCAATATAAAAATAAAATTAGTTTATGCTCTTATAATGATAATGAAGAACTATTTAGTTTTTTCTATGAGATAACATTAAAAAAGAACCACTAATGGTGAATTAATCTCAAGTGGAAAAATTAATGATATGTACATTTTTTTAAAAATTAGTCTGAAAAATATTTTTTTTAAAATAATTCTAAATAAAATGAAAGAATCAATTTTAAAATAGTAGTTCACAAATTAAATTGTCTGAAGTCTCTTATTACCCTAAAATTATCTTGTAAGTTTAATATGATAGAAGAATTATCCAGCGGTAGTAATCATTTTGGTAATTCAAATAATTAAAAATGGTAGTATGGTAGTTATTTGTTTCGTATGGTAGTTATTTGTTTCAAAATATACTTTAATTTAGAGGCAAAAAAAAAAGGAAGAAATACAGCAGAAACAGTCAAAGTAAATATATGCACTAAAATATTTATTATTTTAAAAATTCATTTTGCCAACTTTACATATATTATAGATTAGACATAAAATAAGCAGGTGTAGACCAACCTGTGTGTACAGGTCGCTTATGTCTCTATAGCAATTGAAAAATGTTAACTAATATTTATTTTATGTATATTTTTCTTAATAAAATGCTTGCTCTGGAATTATTTTTAGAAATGAATAACTCTGTCTCCAGTATTAACAGGCTTTATACATTTATTGGAAACAATGATAAAATTAAGAACACACCCAACAAGCAAGACAAAAAGCCAATATTAATTTTTTAAATATTAAATTTAATAATTGATCACCAGTTGGTATAGTTACACTCTAACAAAGAAGCAAATATTTAGATTATGACTCTTACACAAAACAGAACATTGATCCATAGGTCCTTGGACAATAAGTTTCTGCTTAATGTATCCTTGATGCATCACTTCCAGTTTAAGTTGCAGTTACCAATAATTAGCATTTCATTCATTTTTATTTTATTAAGAATTCAGCTTTGGGGAACCCTATCCGTGAGTGATTACGACAATCACTCCAAAACTATATTTCTAACTTCTTCCATTGCACGGCCTTTAGGGTAATCTCATGTTACACATAGACAAATAAACTGGTCTTGAGAAGCACTGCTGTATATTCCTATGCAAATACATTTTTTGGCGCTCAGTCTGAAACTTAGATGTACTAAAATTATCTGACCAATTATTGAAAGTAACTCAACATATATTTTTTAATCTTATTTTTTGGAGTGCATTTTTAATCCACAAAGTTCAATTTCTGTTGGAATATGTGGAAAAAACATATTTAAATATTTCAAATTTGGTCAAATACTTACTTTTACATATTCAGAAATTTTAAGATTCATCCGTCTTGATATTATCTGTTTATTGTATGCAAATGAGTTATTCGTCGACGGCGGCTTCGTTCTCTTTCTCTTTCAAGATGAGCATTATACCTTTCTGGATCTCTCTTTAAGCGCTCTCGGAAAAGTCTCTTACGCTCTGCAGATGTCATTGGTCTTTTCTTCAAACTGGATGAGAAAGCAACAGCCCCCAAAACAATCTTCATGGCCTTTGCTGTATGGCAAAAAAAATAAGCTAAGCCAAAGAAAAATATGGACTTGTATGATAAGCACACATAAAATTGACTTCTCCATTCAAGTTCATCTGTAAATCTGAAATATTCAATACCCTTGATATATGCTAGTTTCTCCAGATCCAGGTATACAAATTTCTACTGAAGAAACAAAATGTAGTACACAAAAAAATCCATGAACAGTGGTGAGCAGCTCATATCACTCATACCAAATATGGCATGCCAACTACTTTTAACAGTGATGAAAAGCTCTAGCTTCAAAAATAACATGCCTGAGCTAAATATTTTAATTTAAGAATAATCAGATTATCATTGTGCTTTTATCAAGTAAAATGATGAGATTACATGGCACAGTAGTATTTTGGGCATTTTTATTTTAAAAAGTTTTCATGTCAGATTTCATACGATGAACAGCTTTACTTTAGTATATTGCAAATAGAATTTAACTGACAATTTAACTCCACATGGTAGACAAATATAACAAAAATCAGCTTCGACTTTACCATTTTTCAATTAGTCGGATAACTTCCCTATTCTTTGCCTATTAAGTAAATTTTACAACAAATAAAATTTGTTAACACAAGCAGATATATATCTAAAAAATATCTTAATATAATGCCATAAAATTTGTTATATTAATAAAGCTGAACCCCACTGGTGGACGCAAATACTTTTGTGTCTTTTAATAATCTCCACCAGAAATAACATTTTTAACATAGAAATAGGTGAAAATTTTAGTAGCCATCATTTTGAATATACTAATTATTTTGCTGTCCGTGTGTGGGTTAAGGATCTGAAATTGATCAGGAGCAGAATGCATCTATCAGTGCCACCTTCAAAAAATTTCAGAAAAGTATTAGTTTAATTGTCATTCAGTGCTATGCAAAAGTCATCCCTATGTATTAGAACAGGGGACATAAGCCCTATTAAATAATGAACCTAAAAGCACATATCTGAATACAGCACATATCTGAATACAAACTGCAGTATCGTGCATGAAAGACAGATCATTAAGCAATTTACATAAAGGGTCAGGAGTGCTTACTGTCCTGTCACCACCCTTATTTCTAAAGGCCGTTGATTGGACCATGAGAAACTCAACAGCAGAATCAATTTGAAATATAATAGTCACAAGGAGGTGTATTCTGAAGAATTTTGAGAACCACTGCTCTTAATAATTTTATATAACGTGAAAAAGTACAGCCTACACTTAAAAGATACGAAATAAAAGCTATATCTTCAAAACTGTGGAAGTCACATGAGAAAAGGCTGCATCAAAAATTTTGTCATTTTTGACCAGCACACAAAAAAACCCACACCTGTTCCAGGGGAATCATAAATTCAGATCAATATCAAAATGAAGTTGATGTCATGAAAATGTTCATAGCTTTGTAACATAAGCATGCGAATATGTAGATAGTAGAATAATTGAATATCAAGAACAATCTTCACTCTTTTTTTATTTGCACAGCAAACAACAAAATAAGCTAACTTGACCAAATATTATTTATAGGCCTTGCCTTTACAAACAAAACTCGGCTAAAATTCTAATGCTCTAATTTAGGAAAAAAATTTACATGACAGAAAATACCATCTAAAAATAGTAAGACAAAAAACAAAAGAAAAAAAATAATTGCAAAATATTTTTTTATAGTCAATAATATTTTTTTATAGCCAGTAATATTTATTTTACTATCATCCAATAATAATATGCATAGTAGAAATATTTATAGAATGCAATGGCCCTTTAAAAATAATCCTTTTACAGTTAAAATTTAAAATAATTATATGAATAAATTTTTTCAAATTATAAGATTAGACCAACTCAAAAAACAAAACAAAAATAGTGCCGAGTGCAACAAAACTATTTTAAATTAAACTTACCATGAAGTAAAATGGGAACAGATAATCAATATCTATGTCTTGGTTGGCGTAATTACGTATAGGCATAGCGCAACATGAAATAGTTCAACGTCATCCAAAACAACAAAATATCAACCGAATAAAAATTTTGGCGCAAGACACTGAAGCAAAAAAAAGGTTGCAGCAGTGATCTTAAATTTGCAATGGCAACAGTTCTTTTAGTTTTTAATTGATTTTCTTAACACAAAAGTCTGTTACAACAAATTTGATTTAAAATATAGCCTAACTCTGCAACATAAACTATACATTATAAACACCTGTGAAGTTGATGTTATTTTCTCAACGTCATTCTTTTTATAAGCAATAAAATGGATAGATTATCATAAATGGTCCACAATTTTAAAAGATTAATTACATAATCTCCATCAACAATAACATTCCGTAAATTCAAATTGCCGCATTACTTGTGGTATTTTAACTACCAATTTATTGCAAGGGTGTCCGAACAATCCTATTTTGTCCAAATGTTTTCTTCAATGACTCAAGTACAGTTTTCTTCTAAGACTCCATTAAGTATGTTAAATACACTATTTTCAAGAAATCACTTCATCAAAACTATCTTATTGAATTTTTCTAGAAAGAAGCTATTTTTCTTTGCTAAATATCTATTATTATTATTATGCTTCATATAACTACTAGTCTGATTCCTTTTTTTTCCTGAAGTTAAAATCATTGGTAAAAGAGTCATAGGCCATGGCCATAGGTGCAATTTAGCTATCGTGTATATAAGAAATATCTAAATTATTGTAAAAAGTTTTTAAAAACATTAAGTCACATTTTTAGGCTGTTTGGAAACAGTAATCAGTGCACAGATGTCAATGATTTAATGTATTCTATATTTACAATGCACTTTTACTGTTGCCTACAGTCTGCCTCTAACTAAATATGAGTATGATTTGAAAACAGCTATTTACTTTTCTAATTGCTCATAACACTGTCTAATTGAAAACAAGGTTGGCACTGGAGGCAGAATTAGTCTTTTTTTTTAAAGCCACAAAAGCATTGATATATATAATATATATATATAAGGCTTTTGTAAATTGTGTAAATTACTGTCAAGTTGGCAAATAAATTATAATAACAGAATATACTTACGAGGATCACCAAACATAGCCTGTACGTCTTCATCTTCATCATCAATTTCTATTACTTCAAACTGGCCAGTATCACTGGAACCTTCGCCAGCATCAGAGTGAACGGAGTGTGGATAAGGCATATCATCATTGCCCTGATCATAATCTAAAGGCATATCTGAACCTGATGGTTCATCTTCATGAGCTGTATCATCTGCTTCACAAGTATCCACAGCACTAGTACTCGCCTTACTTTGTTCATCTGCAAAATCTCCACCTGAATTAGATGTTTCAGATGTTATTCTCAATGGAGTTGTTTGTCTGAGAACTGACTGATCACTGCTTTGTTCATCAGGTACATCCTGATTATCAGAGGATGGCTCAAGAAAAGTGCCTTGAAAATCAGTGCCTTTTTTTTCCTGATTGCCATCATCAGGGTTAATTTCACTGTCATTTGAATGAGTGGCATCTGGATCATTTTTTATTTTAATATTTGTTTGAGAGTCAGATGTTTGATCTTCAATAGATTGATCTTGTGCTGTGGAAAAATCTGCTTCAGGTAAAGCTGATGAATCATTATCCGTTTCAAGAGCTTCCTTTTTAATTTTTATTAGCTGACTTTCACTATCACCAGTATTGTCTGTGATACTTCCTAAATTAGGTAATTGGGGCTGTTTAAAACTGTCTGTATATGTGTGACTAGATGATTGTGAATTAGATAATCCCTCTCCCGAAGTACTAATTGGCCTATGCTTCTTTTGTGAAGCTCTCCAGTCGCCAGCCCATTGTCGTTTTTGAGCCCCATGAAGTACTTGAGAATGAGCAAACTGTGATGAAGGTCTATGGTGCTGAGATCCAAGATGTGATCCCCATGTACGAGAATGATATGATGGTGTGCTGTATGGTGCTAATCCAGTTATTGGTGAGCAAGCTCCATCACGAGTTTGTTTAGGCTGTTCTTTCTTAGCTAAAAAACTATTGCTAACAAATGTCATAGAATTGTTCGTGCTCTTTAAAACTTTTTCATTTAGGACATAATCTACTTTACTTCCACTATCAATATTGATATTTATATAGCCAACAATTTCAATTCCTGAATCAAAATCCATGCATCCATGGCATAAAGCCTGGAGAGATTTACTCAGACTTGAGATAAATCTATTTGCAACAGCTATATCCAAATGAAGCTCAGGCATGGTGTCAACAAGTTTATCTAAACAAAGAAAAATGAAATACTTGAAAAACATTGCGATAAGTTATGATACAACAAATATTTAAAGTAAAATAAAAAAAGTCTTAAGATTGTAACTAATTAAATATTGTTGAACATTGTAAAATGAGCTTTAAAGCTTTTTTAAATTCCAAAAAAGGCTCTAATAAAACAGACCTGTTTACTCTTACGATTTTGGCGTACAATGTATGATTTTGAAGTATATAACATTATATATACAGGTACTGTATGTTTATTTTTTAATATAAATATAAGGTATTTAACTATTTTGTGATAATATTGTATGATTTTAAGAGTTTGAGGGTAAAGAGGTCTGCTAAAATGATTACGGCCTCAATTTATTGCACTCGAAACATGCATCAATCATATCATATTTAAAGTTTAAAGACTAGAAATAATCTTTCAAAAATAGAATATTTATCTTACTATGAATGACTTACCTAAAAAAAATTTGCGTCATTGGTTTTATTTAAATTTAAGGTTCGATGTAAGTTTTATATAATACTAATAGCTTATAAGAATGGAATATGATATAAAAGTTTTATAAACTGAGATTATTTTCCATGTTCCTCTCATTTTGCTTTATGTGCACAAACCATCTCTTTAATGTGCTTTGGCAATGGGGGTCTTATACAGTAAAAACCCCTTACTATAAACGTTCTCGTACCACAAAGCCCGTTTTCCTCAATATTTTCATGCCTGAAAGTATCAAATTGTTTAAATTGCTTTTATAGGATACTAATGGGAAATCACCAATGGACTACTGCAATGCTCTCATGGTGGGTCTTCCCGGTTACGCTCCTGGATAAAATTCAAAAAGCACAGAATAATGCAGCGCCCATTGTTCTTCGCAAACGCAAATTCAACCATGCTAAAACACTTCTGAGAGAGCTGCATTGGCTGCCGGTCCGTGCTCGCATAGAGTAAAAAATTGCAAGTCTGTGCTACCGCTGCTTGCATGACCTGGTGCTGTCCTATCTCAAAGCGCTCATGACGCCTTATGTACCCACTAGACAACTCCGCTCATCCGATAGTGGCAAACTCTCGACACTGCATGTTCGCCTTGAGACTTACGAAAGGCACACTTTTGCATTTGCTGGTCCAACAATTTGGAACACCCTTCCTGTCGCTGTCAGAAACAGCCTGACACTGGAATCCTTCAAAATCGATTTGAAAACACATCTATTTCCCTAACATCTGCTGGGGTGATGTTTTCTACCATCTTTTCCAGCAAGCTATTATCTCCTAGATGTATATTGGCTTGTGTTGTTTATCGTTGCAAGGGATGAAAGTTGTTTAATGGGTATGCTCGTTTAAGTTTTTGAGTGTTGCGTTTGGGGTTTCAATGTGGTCAAATATAGATTATTTCATTTCTCTTTTAATATGGTTGACTTTGTACCGCGCTTCGAGTCTTTGAGGATGAAGCATCATTTTTTCAAATAAACTTCATTATTATTATTCACCCTAAGTCCAGGGCTGGGATTCCCCTAAGCCCGAAGTGACATCACTGTACTTAGGGTGAGACAACTCTTCGCAATACCCATAACATTAACCCAAAATTTACCCTTACGGTTCTTAACCCAAAATTTTACTGATTCACATTTCCGAAGGTTGCGACAAAATGCGTCCTTTGGGGGTTTTGACGGATGTGTCAAATGCGTCCCGGTGCATAGCAACAAAGCTCTCTTATTTTTAGTTAAAACTAGCAATGAAATCTAGCGTCCCTCGAGACTTCTAGCTATGGCGTGATTTTAATTAAAATCGCAAGTTTTTATCTTGTTTCACTTTAAAACTATGTGTGCTTTAGTACGGCGCGTCTATATCTAGCATGTGTTCACTATTCATCCGAGGTGCCAAATATCGATTTTTTGGCCATTGTTCATTATTTTTTCGCCGCTGTTATATTTCTATTAAACCTTATTCATTTTTTTATGCATCCTTCCTTAATTCATTAATATTTATTAATATTTAGCAGCTTAAAAAAATATTTTAAAAATGTAAAACAATTTCAAAACTGAGTTGCTGCCCTTTTCTCAGGAAAATAAATTAAGTAAGGAAGTATCCCTGCTGGCTGCTGGAGTAAACTAATAACTGCCAACTGTGATGTCACTAAGCTTTAGGATGAGTCAACTCTTGTCTAAACCAGTACCGTAAACTAAACATTTACCTATTAAAAAACTAATTTTATAGGTTAAATTACTAAATTAGTATACCCCTACCTACTGAGCCCTAATACTATTGACAATTGAGGCTACTGCCCTAGTGACTAGTGGCCCTACTCTTGCCTAGGCCTAGGGCCAACAATGCATATTAATAAGTAGTTGTGCTTTTTATGGCGTTTCAGCATTTATGGTTTAGATTCAGTCAATAACTTTCAGTTATCACGAATGGGTATTTAATAATCAAAGGTCCAGTGTTACTTGTAATGTAAAGCAGAATTGGCTAGGCACCCAAGATTGCCGCCATAGCCATAGCTTCACAACCTCCGAGTCCGAGCTACGATTGCACTCTCACTACTACTAGTCTCACTCCAAATACAAATATCGGTAATGGGCCGTCGGTATAAAAGAAACTCAAACCTTCGAAGTTCATTTTCCCTATACAAATTGCAAACAATGGTAATACTTACAAATATGTCGAAACACTATGATAATTAATATTTATTTTGTCAACGAATACAAATTGAAAATCAGCATGGCGGCTATAATTCAGGTAAAGGTAAAATGCTCAGCAATCTCGCCTAAAATGGATACTGCCAGTTTGCATTCACATTAATAATTAGAGTCTACAGATTCCAATTTTATGATCCGAAGATCAAACTGATACATATTATTGCATTGATTTTTTCAAAGACAATTATTTTAATTTTTTATCAATGGAAATTATGTTGTCTATAATATATTTATTTCATACTTAAAATTTCAGCACAACAGCCAGAAAACATATAAGTATAAGGATGTTAATGTGACCGATTCCTAGGCATGACCTTAAAACCAGCGGGGGCTTACGCCGCCCTGGGAGAAATGCACGCCGTAGCCGTAGTTGATCTAAGCATTAAACGAAGCGATGAAAATGAGGAACCCCCACCCCCCATAACATTTTATATATATTTATTATTATTATTTTATTGAACTGTAACTGTAGAATTTAGATATTAACACCATGCACTTTAAAAACAGCATAATGTAATTTGCTTTTTTTTTCCTTTTTAGAATCTGGGGAAGTGGAGCGATTTTGCCCGGAACTTATTCATAGAAGTTAAAAGGGCCTTAGTCTTAGTAACCATTTCAAAATAAATATTGTAGAGTAGAGAACCTAGGCTTGTCCTTATTCTACTTTCTTTCTCTATTCGTTGTTTGGATGGTAACACTTGCCTCAACTGCCACTCGTATTTCACCAATCAGACAACTCAAAGATGGTTATAGTCTTTGCCCCTTTATTCATCCGTTACTTCGATTTGTTTTTCTCTCTTCTCGCACTAAGACGTCTAAGAACTAATGACTGTCCCGGTTCGTCTCTCTGCCCGCTGTGTCCTCACGACCAGGGCTGCTACTCACTTTTGTAAAAATTCCCATGATTTTGTCAAAATATTTCCCAAGATTTCCAAGTAATTGACTGAAATTTATTTAATAAGATTTTTTTTTTATGTTATCATTATAAAATAAATAAAGTATTTGTTTTTGAAAAAAAAAATATATTAATTTATAATTCAATATATCAATACACACTGGAGTTAGGCTACTAACACACATATTCTGGTGAAGGTCTGAGATTACTCTCTTAATGACCCCTGGCTATCAACTCCATCTGTTGAGCTGAGCCACAGTGGCGTAGCGAGGGGGGTGCTGACCGCACCGGGTGTCACCATTTTAGGGGTGACACCCAATTGAAAATTGCCTATATACAAATCACACACTGCTTGGTCTAACAGAGATTCATAAAAGGATAACCGATCACACATAACATTTTTCACAAATATATAAGACGTATCATATCATGCCACACGGCGTGCACTAATCTAAACGGCCAAGTGGCTGTCAGCAGTATAAAGAAAAAAAAAAGAAAAAAAATTAAAATACGCGACTCTCTAAAATCACTCCCAGAATACGTGGTTCAATATCAAGAAACCAAATGACCAGGCTCAGGATTCATCAAAAGACTTTCATCAGCCTACCATTGATACTGATTCTCCCGATTCCAGCAGCATGCATTCTTTTCAGCAAATAGTGGGAAAAAATGGAAGAGATTGTAAGTAAAAGACATGGATGGTTTGGAAACAGAGATATCTGCTGATAATGTTGAATCAAACCAAGATGCTTCTCTCTGAAATGTACCAATCCCAGATCATTTTTTCGGTCTGAAAATATTAATATATGGAGTACCTCGTTTCAGACGAAGGACGGACTATTCAGCGTAATGACAAGACAACATGCAAAATCTAAAGGAGGTGTTCGCCAACTAACAAAACAATGGATCTACGGGATGATGCAAAATGGCGAGAAAATACTGCGGTCGTGGAAGATTTATTCACTCTTCAGTCAGATTTTGTATTGTTTTTGCTGCAGATTTTTTGCTGTTAATGTTACAGAAACAATGCCCTATTTCGTTCATGTCTATGATAAGTGTTGGGCACTGAGCCCAAAATGACAAAATCTTGAAGCATCGGAAGAGCGCCTATATTGCCTTAAAAAGTGGAAAGCATTGGCAGCAGGACTTAGGATTCACAGAACAATTGATGCCGAAAGTATTGCTGTGATGGACGGGAAAAGAAAAAGTGGAGGGATATCCTGCACCGGTTGCTGGATATCACACTGTTTCTTGCAAAGCAAAATCTGGCATTTCATGACCACAACGAAGATGAATCTTCACTGAAACTTTCTTGAAATGGTTGAGATGCTATCTAAATACGACGTAGTGCTAAAAGAGCACCAAATGATATCAAAGAAAATTACATCTACAGAAATAGCATCCGCATCTTACCTTTCACCAGAAACCCCAAAATGATTTTATAAAAGTCCTTGCAAATCATGTGAAGGAAATTCTTATCATGGATTTAAAGGCTGCGAAGTATTTTGGAATTCTGTTCGAAAGTACACCTGATATATCCCACAGTGACCAGATGTATGAAGTAATCAGATATGTGAGAATCAACAATAAGAAAGTTGAAGTGAGAGAAGTGTTTCTTGTATTTTTCCCGTTAAGAAGGAAAAAAGCTGATGACCTCAGTTCTGACATTCTTACAAATCTAAAACGTGATGGACTAGACCTAATGATGTATAAAGCTCAAGGTTTCGATATTGCTTCCACAATGTGTGGAGTCCAAGAGGTGTTCAAGCCATTCTGAAAAGAAATAAGAATAAATCGATTTTTAATGGATGTGTGGGCCATTCACTTAACTTGTGTGGTCAACACTCTTTTGCAGAAAAATGCTTCATGTATTAGATTTTTCGATACTCTTGAAAGAATATTTTCCTTTTTTGCTGTGTTACGCACTGACTTGTATTGGGAGAAATTAATCTCCTATTTTAATTGGCTCGTTGTAAACAGTGCCTAACAAAGGACGATACCATAGATACAAACAGAGCCTAACAAAGGACGATACCATAGATACAAACAGTGCCTAACAAAGGACGATACCATAGAGTCAACAATAGTAAAGATACGACACCACAAACAGTTGTCAGTTACAATTAATAAGATTTATTAAGTCTAAAAATAATTACAAAGGAAAAGAAAATATAATGACAATCTTCAACTTACAGTATGGTAGATCTTGTACCGGTACACAGTTAATAAAGTTAGAATAATGTGCCAATGAATAATGATGAATGCGAAATAAACACATATGAGTATGAGCACACAAATGCACAAAGAATAATACACGTCTCGTAAAGTTAATAATTCCTATCTGAATCTCCGTCTTTCCGAGCCTGTCACTTCTTTAAATAGGTGGGTCTACCGACGCGTAAGCCCTGCCTTCCAGAAGCTACACAGCATTTCTTGAACAATCACAATCATTCTACAAAATACTATTTAGAACAGATTAATTATTTTTAGTGGCTGTCGGCATCAACACGACCGATCAAAAGACTAAGCCACACCCCTCTGTGAACACAGCGTCTCATGCGGGGTCAATCAGAGTTCACGCACGAGAAAAATTATGTAAACAAGCTCTATATAATAGCTGCATCCACTCATTGAGGGAATGTTCTAATCGAACACACAGGAATGTCATGGAAAAGACTGTCAAAAAAGCGTTGGGGAGCTCATCATGCTGCCGTTAAAACAGTGTAAGATGAGTTTGATGAATGTGTGGCGGAGATTGCAGCTCTGTGTAATCCTCTTGAAAATTCGGATACAGAGGTACAGCACAAGTTCTTTTACATGCTGTCTGTGGTTTCACGTTTATCGGCCACCTTAACCTCTGGGCTGATCTACTTGAGGAAGTTAATCTTACACAGCAGTATTTGCAGACTAAAGGCTTTACTCTTCATGAAATGGTGACAAACCTAGAGGCCTTAAGATTGTTTCTGCACGAGAAGCGCTGTCACTTGGTGGAACTTTAAAAATCAGACCAATATGGAATTTCGGTAGAGAGAAGATTAAGGTTTAAGAAGAGAATAGCGGGAGAACAATTAATAGATGCTGGACTCTTTCTGCGAGAAGAAAACAGTAGGGAGATGCTGGAATGTATTGATCGCTTTCATTCTGAACTCCAGATCAAATCATCAGTGATCAAGGAAGTAGCAGATATATTCGGGGCTGTTAAACCAAAGAGTCTAGCATCAGCAAGTGAAGAAGAGTTATTGGTGCCCGTTCCAAAATTAACTTCTTTCTTTGATGAGTTATCAGAAGCTGAACTTTTAAAAGAAATACCAAGGCTTAGAAGACATCTAAAGGCAGCTGATATTGAATTTCACAAAGTCATGGACTGGTCAGTATTTGATGTTTTAAAATTCATAGCTGAATGGGACTTCCAAGAATCTCTTCAAAATCTCTCGCTAATCCTTGTGAGCGGAGCTTTTCAAAACTAAGTCTTATCAAGAAATATTTACGATCAGCCATGGGGCAGTCTATGCTTTCTGTTGTGGCTCTGCTATCAATTGAAAGTGATACAGTGAAGGACATTGATTTTTATCAAGTGATTGACAGGTTTGCAGCTTAGAAGACAAGGAAAGGACAATTTTAAAAAGTAAGTTTAATGCAAAAAATAGCCTATAACTTAATGTTGTTACAGTTTTTAAATACATTGACCTCATGACATTTTATTTATGTGTTGTTTTTTTCTTGTCATTGCTATACTGTGGACTTATTTTAACAAGAAGAAATCTATCATGGAAGTTTGTTGTTGTTGTTGTTTTTTTGGGGGTGGGGGTGGGTGGGGTGACACCATGAGTTTACCGCACCGGGTGACATCAACCCTAGCTACGCCACTGCTGAGCCATTCAACATTTTCCTCACAAAGGGTTATCCAACCGCCCTGGCTTCCCCCGGGAATCAATTGAGGGACATTCGATCAACAGGTGCACTAGTGTCTCCGGTATCAGGCTGCAATGTCGGCAGGTAGGATCCCTATTGTTGTCTAGCCGCCAGAAGTAAGTGCCAATGGGGCAATGCTCGGTACCGGTACGCATTTGCGTCACTAGCGCTGCTGTCTGCGGCCTAACCCCTACCATGGGTCTTGTTTGCTAGGAGTGGGAAAGTTTGAAAAGACTCCTCAGGCAGTCGTGTTGTCTGCCCATTGCCTGT